TCTGGGGACATCCCCTGGCCAGGACTCCTCTTCGGTGTCTCTTCCCTCACCTTCTACTTCTGGAGTGCGGATCAGGTAATTAGAGGCCTTGTCACTAAAACCACTGCTCATGGGGTCTTGGGGGTGTGCCTGACATTCCAGGCCCCAGCACAGTCTGCATCTAGAAGGAATTGTGGACCTGTCCACTCCGTGGTCAGATTTCCCCGACCAATTTGTATTTATTGCCCAAATAGCAGTGTAAGAAGTTCCATGGAAATGCGATTTTCAGGGTGGTTGTTTGACACAGTGGTTCTTGGGATGTCTGCATCCCATATTGGAGTGCCTGGGTTTGAGTGTCGGCTCCACTTCTGATCCCAGCTTCCTGCTCACGTGCAGCCTGGGAAGCAGCAGATGAAGGCGCAAGCAGCTGGGCTCCTGCCAGCCACGTGGGAGACCTGGACTGAGTTCCCAGCTCCTGGCTTCAGCCACTGCAGATAACCTAGGGAGTGAATCAATGGATGGGAGATCTCTCTCTCTCTCTCTCTCTCTCTCTCTCTCTCTCTCTCTGCATTTGTCTCTCTCCCTTTCAAATAAAATGAAAATAAATAAATACAAATTAAACTGTTTCTTCCACAGCCCCATCTACAACATATCAACTCTTGAATTTTTCCTGCCTATTTTGTCTCAAAAAGCACAATTTTGTTGGAAATGAAAAATGGCTATTTTGCTCTGCTTGTAACAGTGATACATTCTTCTAAAATATCATTCTAGTGAAATGTACATCAGAAGAATGATGATGAGGCATCTATGTGACCAGTACCCTAGTTAAGAACCAGCACATAGGGGCTGGCGCCGTGGCGCCGTAGGTTAATCCTCCACCTGAGGCACCAGGATAACATATGAGCACTGGTTCTAGTCCTGGTTGTTCCTCTTCCAGTCCAGCTCTCTGCTGTGGCCTGGGAAGGCAGTGAAGGATGGCACAAGTGCTTGGGCTCCTGCACCTACATGGGAGACAAGGAGGAAGTACCTGGCTCCTGGCTTCAGATCGGCATAGCTCTCGCCATGGCGGCTGTTTGGGGAGTGAACCAATGGACAGAACACCTTTCTCTCTCTCTCTGTCTCTCTCTCTCACTGTCTGTAACTCTACTTGTCAAATAAATAAATAAAATCTTTAAAAACCGAAAAAGCAGCAGCACATAGCCATTACCTGAGAATAAAAATGCCACATCCTCACTGGCAGAGAGTCACACTATAAAGAAAAGTTCCAACATGAAATCACCAAAATCCCATAAAAAGTGATACACAGTATCTTAGTGAACCTGCTGCCAGAAGCCTTTTAGTGCATAAAGCAAATAGGCATGTATGCATTATTTTACATAACTAGAATTATGCTGCTGCTGTTCTCTGACATCTCTTGGTTTTCTTTTAACTCATAAACATGTTTCAAGCATTTTTTCATGTCAGTAAACATCTATAAACATTTTCCTTTTTAGGGATTTTTTTTCTTTTTTTTTTATTTTTTTGACAGGCAGAGTGGACAGTGAGAGAGAGAGACAGAGAGAAAGGTCTTCCTTTGCCGTTGGTTCACCCTCCAATGGCCGCCGCGGCCGGCGCGCTGCGGCCGGCGCACCGCGCTGATCCGATGGCAGGAGCCAGGAGCCAGGTGCTTATCCTGGTCTCCCATGGGGTGCAGGGCCCAAGCACCTGGGCCATCCTCCACTGCACTCCCTGGCCACAGCAGAGGGCTGGCCTGGAAGAGGGGCAACCGGGACAGAATCCGGCGCCCCGACCGGGACTAGAACCCGGTGTGCCGGCGCCGCTAGGCGGAGGATTAGCCTAGTGAGCCGCGGCGCCGGCCTTTTTAGGGATTTTTAAAATTTTTATTGGAGAGGCAGAGACAGACAGATAAAATAAAAAGTGCTCCCATCTATCTGCTGGTTCTCTGCCCATCCCCAGATGCCCACAGATGGCCAGGGCTGGGCCACACAGAACTGGGAGGCAGGAACTCAATCCAGGCCTCCTGCATGGGTGATGGGAACCCACCCACTTGAGCCATCACCTGCTGCTCCCAGAGTGCACATGAGCAGGAGTGGGGCTGGGACTCAAACCCAGGCACTCCACATGGGTGCACGTGTCCTGACAGCACCTACCCAGCAGCCTGAGTGTCCACCTCAAGACCTCATTTCAGGATGGTAGCCCCTCTGCTGTGTATGGCTACCAGAACAAAGTCAGCAGTGAGTTCACGGGTGTGATTTCCAGGGTTCACCATCACAGTCCCTGATACTCCATTCTTGGGTGTGATCTCTGTTCCACCTGTCTGACCCCTAGTGACCTTATATGCTTGGTTCTTCTGATAAGTAATGCTTCTTAAATGTCATGTCCCAATTCTTTATCATTTATGTACAGAAATGCAAATTTTTTAAAGATTTACTTATTTATTTGAAAGTGTTACACAGAGAGAGGAGAGGCAGTGAGAGAGAGAGGTCTTCCTTCTGGTGGTTCACTCCCCAATGGCCGCAATGGATGGAGCTGTGCCAATCCGAAGCTGGGACCCAGGAGCTTCTTCTGGGTCTCCCACACAGATGCAGGGGCCCAAGGTCTTGGGTCATCTTCTACTGCTTTCCCAGGCCATAGCAGAGCGGGATGGGAAGTGGAGCAGCCGGGTTTTGAACTGGCGCCCATATGGGATGCCAGCCCTTCAGGACAGGTCGTTAACCCGCTGCACCACAGTGCCAGGCGCGCAAATTTATATTTCTTCTTTTTCAGCTACCTAGATACTATCATTAATACTAAAAACTTTAGGCCTGTGCCGCGGCTCAAGGCTTATCCTCTGCCTGCGGCACCAGCACCTGGGTTCTAGTCTCGGTTGGGGCACCGGATTCTGTCCCAGTTGCTCCTCTTCCAGTCCAGCTCTCTGCTGTGGCCCGAGATCGCAGTGCATGGGCCCTGCACCCCATGGGAGACCAGGAGAAGCACCTGGATCCTGGCTTCGGATCAGCGTGGTGCACCGGCTGCAGTGTGCCAGCTTCAGCGGCCATTGTGGGGTGAACCAACGGAAAAGGAAGACCTTTCTCTCTGTTTCTCTCTCTCTCACTGTTCACTCTGCCTTTCAAAAAAAAGAAAAAAATATTAAAAACTTTATATAAATTTTAATTTATGTAGTATATCATCTATGAATAATAAAAAGCTGAATCTTTGTTTCTCTCCTTGAGCCTTTAGCTTCTTTGTCTTTTCTCACAGTGCCAGCTTGGATGTCCACATGTAACAATATTAGCTGTAGTCAGAGATGTCAGTACTCCCTCTGGAAGCAACCATGACAGAAAAGTCAGAGCCCTCCAGAATCCAAGCGGTGCAACTAACAGGCTAGGTTATATGGTGATATCAATTTGTGTATCTTAGTTGTATAAAATTTTCTATACCAAGCAAACGAAATATTAACATTCTTTTCAAGCATATTTACATTTAAAAATTGGCCATAATTAGGTTATAAAAGAGGTTTTAGATTACTAATCAGTGGGTAGATACCAAACACTGTTCAGACTAATGAAAATTAGAAAGTAAAAGCTAAAGAACAGTTTCTAAAATCGCTTGAATCTGAAAATTAAGTAGCATGTTATTAAGTAGCTTGTGGACTGGAAAGTCAAAAAATCACATTTAGAACTGAATGGCAATGAAAACACTGCATGCCAACTTTTTTTTAAAAAAAAGATTTGTTTATTTGAAAGTCAGAGCTACATAAGAGGGGGGGGAGAAAGAGAGAGAGAGAGAGAGAGAGAGAGAGAGAGAGAGGTCGTCCATCCTCTGGTTCACTCTCCAATTGGCCACAGCGGCCAGAGCTGCACTGATCCGAAACCAGGATCCAGGAGCTTTTTCCAGGACTCCCACGCGGGTGCAGGGGCCCAGGAACTTTTGCCATCTTCTACTGCTTTCCCAGGCCACAGCAGAGAACTGGATTTGATGTAGAGCAGCCGGGACTCAAACCAGCACCCATATGGGATGCTGGCACCACAGGCGGCGGCTTTATGGGCTACACCGCAGGACCGGCCCTTTGATACATTTCTAAACCTATCTTCAATGCATAAATTCCTGGGAAATTATGTATTGGCATTTTGGGCAAAAGAAGAAATTTTGTATGCAAAAATAAAGCAATTAATGACTAGAAATAGTAAGCAAAAACATCTCTCCCAAAGCTCTAAGCCAGATAGCTTTGCTAATAACGTCTACTAAATGTCTAATATTTTACAAGGTGTTCCAGAAAATAAATAAAGCAAAAACTGCCCATATCATTTCGTGATTCCGGGGTAATCTTGATTCCAAAGCTGTGAGGAAAATACAAGACACCAAGCCCGGGGGAAACCTCCTGTCGCAGGGATCTCACAGTCTCTCAGCCTGGGTGCACTGAACAGGGAGTCGCCTGCACCGAGGTAGCCGCAGCCCGGCACGGGCCGTGCAAGCAGAGGCACTGGTGAGCGGACTGCAGACCACTGCTGGGGTCTGGCGAGGGTCCAGTCCAAAAGGCAAGGCCAACCGAGCCTGGGAGGACAGAGGTCAGGTGGGGAGGGTGCCTGCCGAGCCCGGGTGCAGGGAACCTGGAGGAGAGATGGGGACCTGCCTGCCGGGGCTCGCCGGGCAGGCGGGGTCCAGGTCAGGCGGCCTTGCCAGCAGCGGCTCCTCAGGGCGCTCGCGGGCAGGGCCGTCACGGGCGGCGGGGCTGCTCCCTTCTCCCCGGGCGCCGGCTGCAGCACTGCTGCTGTCAGCGCCCGGCTTCTGGGGCAGCCGGGAGGGGCGGGACACTCAGGCTTCCTGGGCCAGCAGCCGCCGGGTCGCAGGAGCGCCCTCTTCAGGCAGGGAGCTGTGGTGCCGTGCTCCCGCTGCCCCGCATCACTGCGCAGGCGCAGAGAACAACCCGCGCCACTTCTGGACGCTCAGCAGCCGTGGAGCCGCTTGGGGACGGCTCCCAGGGCTGGCCGCCTTTGCGCAGTCGCCAGCGTTCCTTTCTGATTGGTTGGTGCCTTCCACGGTACCCAGTGGAAGTGAACCTCTCAGGAGCCCTCATTTGAATAGCGGGGCTATAAAAGCTCTGCCCGGGGCTGCGTCAGCCGTCTTGTTGTGGTTATTTTCTGAGGCGGAGGGTGGTCGCCTGCAGGATGTCCAGCGCGCCAGGCTTGACCTTCAGGACCGGAAGACGCTGTGGAGAGGCCCGAGGGCAGAAAGGGCCGGCACACGGACACGAGGGCTCCAGGTGCCGGGCGGGTCCGCCTCCCGCCTGCAGAACGTCCCGGTGCCCGGTGCCTGGTGCCGCGCGTCGCGTCGCCATCCCCGCGCTGCCCCTGAGGCCCGGTGAGTCCTGTGGTCAGCGTCTGAGGGGGCGTCGCGGGGTGGGGGTCGTGACCGGAGGCCCGAGACGCTCTCCCGGGGGTGGGAGCCGGGAGGAAGCCTCCAGGACGCTGGGAGTGTGCGTGTCGGGGACTCGGTGCTGCTCGGGGGGCGGCTGGTCTGCTGGGTGTCCTGCTGCGGGTGCTGCCGGGGCGGTGAGGTCCTGAAGTTGGAATAGAGGGAGGAGTTTTTTTTTTTTTTTGTCGTTGGTCATGGTTAAATTCCACGAGAGAATTATGACCAGCGCTGTGTTTTCATTAAGACTGTGTGTGTGTGTGTGTGTGTGTGTGGTGTATTGTGTAAGGTTTCTTGCAACGCTTCTGTTTGTCATGCTTTGGGCTTATCGTTGGGAAGTATTGGGTGCGGAATCGTGTTACCTCTTGGGCGATGGTTTTTAGGTGACTAGTATTCATATTTAGGGCGTGTTCTTGCGGTGTTGTTGTGGTGTTGGTTTGTATAACTGCCTTGTCTACTGAAGGGTGTCCTGAAACTTGGGGGTCACATGTTGGGGTTTTGGGTGCCTTCCAGTTGGCCGGGTGTGTAGAATGATGTGAAGAGTGGGTGGTGATAAGGTGGAAATTGTTACTGGGTTTTAGAATGCAGACGATGGAGTGACTTGAGGTTGAGGAATTGGCCTTTGTGGTTGTCCAGCTGTGGTGTCCTAGTGATGAAAGTTGGTTAATGTGGGTGCTGGCGCGGTTGATTGGTCATCGTTACACTTTTATTTTTTTTACTTGATTTTTTAAAATTTTTACTTGAAAATTTTTTTTTAGTTTATCAATTTTTGTTTGTTTGTTTTTGAGGTAGCATTCTTGGTTCCCATTGTGGTCTCGAAGGCTTAGTGCTGCACCAAGTGAAGAGTTCAACAAGTACAGAGTGAAAAGACTGTAGCTGAGCAGGAGTGTAGGCAAAGGCTGTAAATGGTTATTAGATGAAAAAGTTCTCAAATTCAACCTAAATTTTAAAAGTCACAGAATCATTAAAACTGTAGTAATGTCTAATTCTTCACTGTGACAGAGATTGAAACCAAAGTTTGTGGGGCCAGTGCTGTGGTAAAGCAGTAAAGCTTCTTCCAAGTCTCCCATGGGAGTGCAGGGTCCCAACTCTTGGGCCATCCTCCACTGCCTTCCCAGGCCACAGCAGAGAGCTGATCGGAAGTTCAGAAGCCAGGACTCGAACCGGCACCCATATGGGATGCCGGCACTGAAAGCCACAGCTTTAACCCACTGTGCTAAGGCGCTGGGCCCTCAAACACTTCTCTATCTTGATTTAGGTACATATTGTGTATCCTTTTTATCTAACCCCTGTAGGTGTTTGAGTTTGCTTTTATATTTTCATTAGCCTGCTGCGGTTGAACAGGCATTATTCCGAGACATTTTAAAACACAGATTTCAGATTTAAATTGTTAGACAATATAGAGCTAAAAGGAACAGAGATTGGGCCGGCACCCTGGCTCACTTGGTTAATCCTCTGCCTGCGGCACCAGCATCCCATATGGGTGCTGGGTTCTAGTCCTGGTTACTCCTCTTCCAGTCTAGCTCTCTGCTGTGGCCCGGGAGTGCAGTGGAAGATGGCCCAAGTGCTTGGGCCCCTGCACCCGCATGGAAGACCAGGAAGAAGCACCTAGCTCCTGGCTTTGGATCGGCACAGTGCCGGCCGTGGCGGCCATTTGGGAAGTGAACCAATGGAAGGAAGACCTTTCTGTCTCTCTCTCTGTCTATAACTCTACCTGTCAAAAAATTTTTTTTTAAAAAAGGAAGATAGATTAATTTTATGAAGCTGAAGATATTAATGCTAAAACTTAGCAACTATAGCATAGAAAATAATAAAATTAAAGACTAATCTCATTTTTAAATATCAATGCAAAAATGTTAAGGTAGTAGACATGAATCCCAAAATACATTAAAAATGATAGAGCTGGGCATTGTGGTACAGCATGTTCAGTCACTGCTTGGAATGCCCGTGTCCGCTACCAGAGTGCCAAATCGAGTCCCAACTGCTCTGTTTCCAATCCAGCTTCCTGCTAGTGCATCCTGGGTGGCGGCGAATGATGGCTCAAGTGCTTGGGCCACTGCCACCCATGTGGAAGACCCATAGGGAGTTTCTGTCTCCTGGCTTTGATCTGGGCCAACTCTGGCTATTGTAGGCACTTGGGGAATGAACCAGTGGAAGGTTTCTCTCTTTTCTCTTCTCTTCTTCTCGCTCTCTTTCTCTCCCTCCCTCCCAAAGTAGATGAAAATAAATAAGCATGCTAAGAAAACACTGCATGGGCCGACATTGTGGCATAGTGAGTTAAGCAGCCCCCTGTGACACCGGCATCCCATATGGGCACTGGTTTGCATCCTTGCTGCTCTACTTCCAGTGCAGCTCCCTGCTAATGTACTCAGAAAAGCAGCAGAGGAGGGCCCAAGTGCTTTGGGCCCCTGCAGCCATGTCAGAGACCTGGAAGAAGCACCTGGCTCCTGGCTTCAGCCTGGCCCAGCACCAGCTGTTGCAGCCATTTGGGGAGTGAGCCAACAAATGGAAGATTGTGTGTATGTGTGTGTGTGTGTGTGTCCCTCTTCTTCTCTCTCTAAATCTGACTTTCAAATACATAAATAAATCTTTAAAAACAGAGAGATGGGGCCAGTGCTGTGACATAGCAGGTAATGTGTGATGATTCTGACTGCTCACCATCTTCACCAATCTTTTTTTTTTTTTAAGATTGATTTGTTTGAGAGGTAGAGTTACAGACAGTGAGAGGGAGATACAGAGAGAAAGGTCTTCCTTCCGGTGGCTCACTCCCCTAATGGCTGCAACGGCTGGAGCCATGCCAATCTAAAGCCAGGAGCCAAGAGCTTCTTCCAGGTCTCCCACGCGGGTTCAGGGGTCCAAGGACATGGGCCATCTGGTACTGCATTCCCAGGCCATAGCAAAGAGCTGGATTGGAAGGGGAGCAGGCAGGTGTCGTGCTGGCACCCATATGGGCTGCAGGAGCTTCAAGTCGAGACATTAACCTGCTGTGCCACAGCGCTGGCCCCTTCACCAATATTTTACCATCTTTGAGCTACATCAGCTGACCACATACTGTGTATGTAGACCTATTTTTGGACTCCATTTTTCTGCAGTAATCTGTCCTAATGCTAGCCCTAAAGTTTCTTGATTGCTGTCCCTTTACAGTAAAAGTGTTAAGTAGGCAGTTTTACAGATTCGATGTGTCTCCTCCAAAATTCAGAGGTTGAAACTTAATGGCCAGTGTGCTGGCTTAAGTAGTAGGCCTTTAAAAGGTGGTGAGGCCATTCAGCTTCTCCTCCCATGAATGGTATTAAGGCCCACAGGAGGGCAGCATTAGGTTAGGTTCTCTCGCCCTGCCACACTCACCAGCCCATACAGAATCCGTAACTTTGGGACATCTCCATTCACTTGGATCTTCTATAATTTCTCTGCTTTCTAGTTTTCACTGTGTATATTGTGCACCTAAATTCATTGCTACGTATTCTATTCTTGTTGGAATTGTTTTCCTTCGTCTCTACTACAACTATAATCTCCCTTGAAGCCCTGCTTTAGCTGCCTCTTGGAAATTTTGATATATTGTGTTTTCATTTATATTCAGTTCAAAATATTTTCTAATTTGCTTGTGTTTTCTTTGATCCATGGGCTACTTGCAAGTGTGCTGTTTGATTTCCAAGTATTTGGGATTTTCCTTACTATCTTGTTATTGGTTTTTCACTTCCTTTCTCTGTGATCTAAACATATCCGCTGTCAGATTTGTCTTGAAATTGATGATACTTCTGTATTCATACTGAATTTTTGTCTCCCTCTTCCAGAGCGTATTTGTGTATTTCTGTGTGTGTACACACACTCAAGTATTCAGTGTCTTCTATATGAAAGAAGGATATTAAAATCTTCCATTACAGGTTGGGTGTTTAGCCTAGCACATCCCATATTGGAGTACCGGAGTCTGATAGCCGGTTTCAACTGAGGACTGCAGCTTCCCGCTGGTGCCTTCCCTGGGAGGCAGCAGTAAGGGCTCAAGAAGCTGGGCTCTTGCACCCTCATGGGAGAGAGACCTGGATGAAGCTCCTGGCTCCAATCTTCATCCTTGGCCCAGCCCTGGCTGTTGTAGGCATTTGGAGAGTGACCCAGTGGATGAAAGCTCTGTTTCTCTTTCTTTCTCCACACCACCCAACAATACATTTTTTAAATTGAACTTTCAGTTATGATTTTGTAGTTGTCCTTCCCTCCTTCCCCATAATACTTTTTGTTGCTTTATAAGTGTTGAAGTTCTGGTATAAGGCACTTACACATTTATGCTTATTATGGCTTCTTGAGGAATTAACCCATCAGTCATTGTGCAGTGTCCGCTTGTGTAAATCTCTGAGTGTGCCCCTTCCCTTGAAGTTTGCATTGTTATTATTTTAGCCCAGACCAGCTTTCTCATTCTTAGAATTTGTCACATCTTTAATCTCTGCATGTATTTGAAATGAATCCCTTGTAGAGCAAATATAGTTGGATCTTGATTTTTTAAATCTAGTCTGACAGTTGCATAGTTTGCAAATATATTTTCCCATTCTGTCGGTTGTCTCTTCACTTTCCTGACTGTTTCTTTTGCAGTACAGAAACTTCTCAATTTGATGCGATCCCAAATGTTAATTTTGGCTTTGACTGCCTGTGCTTCTGGGGTGTTTTCCAAGAAGTCATTGCCGGTACCTATATCTTGCAGGGTTTTTCCAATGCTCTCTAATAATTTGATGGTGTCAGGTCGTAGATTTAAGTCTTTAATCCATGTTGAGTGGATTTTTGTGTAAGGTGAAAGGTAGGGGTCTTGCTTCATGATTCTGCACGTGGAAATCCAATTTTCCCAGCACCATTTATTGAATAGACTGT